TAGTACGAAACAAAAGCTTCTTTCTTAATAGCTCGTGAGGAAGAAAACTGTCTAATCCGACAAAGTTCGCCAGTATTTATTACATTTATTCTCCGCGAATAAAGAAGCAAAACTGCCGTCAAACTGAACAGCCGAGGAAAAAGAAAACTTTTCTCAGAGACACACGAGAAGAGGAAAACGGCTGATCCCACGAAGCCGAGCGTTTACTCGAACGAGCGGATCGAAAGCTAAACCGAGCCGGTGCTTTTTCGAGAGAGGGGTGTTCCCCGCCCCAAAGTACGTAACTTTTCTTATGAATCCCTGCGGACAGGAGAGAAAACGCGGGGTTGAATGAGGGTGGCCGTTTTACTTCGCGATCCACCTCGTGCCTGAGAAGAGAAGGGACTCGTCTCGCGTAAAAAGAAAATATTTCTCCCGTCGACACGCACTGGAGGCGATACAAAGGATCCTAGTTGCGCTTCTTTCCTTCCTTCCTTCCTTTCACTTCCTTTTTGTTCTATTTTGAGACGCGTCAAGGATCGTCCGACGTAGTTCGGACGATAAAGCTAAAACCTCGACGGAATCGATATGCCACAAGGATATATATTTCTTTTTCGTATCTTGTCTACCTTTACGTCAGCCATTTTTTCTCTTATGAAAGTGTTATATCCTCTGTCATTACTTTTAATTTTATATTAAACAAATTGTGTTAGAACTTATGTAGTACATTTAATTGTTATGCATGATGCTCTGCATTTTATTAATTAATCATGAAATAATAGTTGATGAAATATAGAATCAATAAAAATTATAAGTATCTATTTAATCGTTTAATCTGTAAAAATATTGACTATTAATTTAACATTACAAAATCATAATTATCCTACTAATCATAAGGGATATATTGCGGGATCATAACTATCCCATTAGCATCACTATTGACCTTAAGCCAAAGCATCTTATTTGCGCGTGAGTTGATTTAAAGATGTTAATATAAAAACGCGTAAGACAACAAAATTATTGCTTACGATCATGTTATCGGAAGGCGCGAAAGAATTAAAGACGTTTTCACGCTTTCCAGTCGTGCAAATATCGAGGATGTTCGAGATTGAGTGTGATTATTTGCACGCAATCCTGTGTTGTAAATCGCGCGTAAATATATATAAGGTGTTCCAATAGTATAATACTTTTTCTCACAATTACATATATATATATATATATATATATTAAATTAAATTAAAAAATTGTTAGCACATCAGGCCATAAAATTTACATTTAAAAGCTTAAGTAGATGACGAAAAATTTCATTTTACATTTAATTTTGATGACGATATTCTAGAACATTTTTACAGACCACTTCTTCGCAAATTCTCCGACAATTCTCCGTTAAATAGTTTGTAATTAAACAGGGACACAATTTCTGATACATCCTGTGTAGATACATGAAAATATAAGGTACTGCAAGTACATAAATTGTCGCCAACCAGAGATATTTATGGAAAGGGTAAACATGTGTACGTGTCACACTTTAAAATGTTACCTGTGGCAAGACTGCGTTTCTCTTGCAGTTCTCATGCCGACGTCAAATCCACATAAATTCATTTTGCTTAAATTAGAAAGCTAATTATAATTATTAAGGAATTCTTTAATTATCACGGAAATGCCAATTGATAATAAATGCGAATTATTATTTAATTAAAAAAGATTGCCCCATGGTGGGAAAAAATGCTCTGAATTTATGATGAAGAAAATCCCTAAAGAGAAACAGAATGAGAATACAGACTATGAAATATCTTACAGATATACGTTCATGAAAAAATGTTGAAATAGGGACAATTTCGCGTATAGATAAAAAATAAATAAATAAAAATAAATAAATAGATAAAATGAATAAATAAAAAGATTAAATTATATTTAAATTATAATCCATGTGAATAATATATTTAAACCTGCGCTGCTCTAAAAGAAATACTAAACATGGACGATCCATGTTTGCAAAAAATTCCTCGGTGCAGCGGCATCTCTTTTTATACTGGGACTTCGCCTAATCTTGGCAATTTAAATGTTTGTCCCCGACGCGCACGCAGGTCCACAATGGGATCGCGTATCGCCTGGCTTAGGGACGCGCTAGTAATCCCTTGTTGAAACAGTGCTAAGCCCTTACGGATTGTCTGCGGGATCGCTACGGCGATACGACGGCAAACGACGGCCTATATCCGAAGGGCGGTAACCCCTATCCGATGTTTTCGCTCTCGCGGTTTGTCCTATTCGTTTCGCCTTTCGCTATCGCCGCTTGTCGTGTCACCTGTGCTTTATAAGTGTGCTCATCTTGCATTTTATTCAAGAAATTTCAGACTTTAAGCTCTATAAAATTCTCATTAAAAACATGTGATCGCGAAAAGAAACACAGATACTATGCGGTAAAATTTTTATAAATAGTTTCCAATTCGTTCTATCGCTTTCTTCATCAATACTCGGAGAATAAAGGAATGGAAACGAGCCCAAGAGACACGAACGAGCGGCAGGAACAAAACGAGTCGTTCACGAAATTGGCCGATATATCCGATACGCGGTGGGTAAATCGTCCCTACGCGAATAAGGGGTGCACGAAGCCAATCTCGCTCGGGAGATTCACGGCGCGCGAAGGACAATAATGCGAGGCAGAGGTGAACGACTGAAAAAATTCACAATTCAAAAAGAAACACACTCACGGGACAAGGAAGATGATCTCTCGTGCATTTAAAGTGTACATCATATGCATAAAAATTAATCTGATCAAGAAGAATCTATATCATTCAAAATACAAGAGCATTTGGTAAATTTGCAAAATTCCGATAGTTGTATATAAGAAAATAAATATAGAAAAATAAAACGTGCGTTTCGCGCATAATCTTCCTCATTTTCGAGATAGAACAGATCGCAGAAAATATTATAAATAAGATTAGTTCAAATTGTACATGTAAAACCTTTTGGAGAATACTTCAATGACGTCACTGCCATTTTCGGTAAAGCTGATTAAGTCGAGATAATCGTCTTTTATTCAAAAGAGCATCCGTCAACTTGCAAAAGAGAGAGAAATTGAATCCGCTCGATGTGATGCCGAGTCTTATATTCCAGAAGCACTTAAGAACGCAAATATTTATGGTGTCTTCCAGTCTCGAACGAAAAACAAAACCTTCCCCTTTCGTAGAACATGAGAAAAAAGAAAATCTGTCTTTCTCTCTCTCTCTCTCTATTTCTATCTCTATCTCTCGAGTAGATATACCCCGCGGGATTAACCTTTAATTCTATCCCGTCTCGACAGCCCCTTCTTCGTCCTTGAAGAAGGGTCCTCAGCATCAAATGTTCTCTGAGCCTCGACATGGATCAGAAACAAAACCGAAATGAAATTTTCGAAATGGTTTGATGACCAGTTTGGCTCTTTGTCTCTCCGAAGAAATATCGAGATCAAGAATAAAAACAGAGAGAATATAAATTTGGAATAATATTACATTTATCTACATTAAAAAAAGCTATTCTGAAATAGCTCAGCGAATAGGTATTAAGCATACGAAAATAATTAAGCTATTTATAAACATCATAAAAGCTGTTATAAAGGCTAAAAATGCGATCTTTAGGAAAGTATACGATTTATTACATGATTTATATCGCACTATCGTCCAATGCGCTTGAATTTTAGAAAAACTATAATCTAAATCTCTCTCTTAAAATTTATCACGCGACGCGATTCGAGGGACAAATTCGTGCAAACGTGCAACCGACGAGGAAATCGTCTCCAGGTTCGGGTGTGTACATGCAAGAAAAGACGATGTCGGCAGAGCAGGTCAGGTGGATCGATGCAGGTTGCCTTACGGCAGCCCGCACACCTTCACAATTACACTACACACACACGAGCGATCCTTAACTAGAGAAAGAGAGAAAGAGGGAGAGGATCACTTACATTATACATAAGAAAAAAATTCTTATTTGGTTTGTTCGCACGTAGCAATTCTTCCGCAATATATTGCAAGCGGTCTATTTTCGAAATCTTCATTGTGTCGACGATAATTAAATCCCATAAACCTTCAGGAAAATCCAGATTTCCATAACACATCATTAGAATTTAAACAAATATCGTTATTATCTCATAGATAATGGATAATGAAAGCTTATGCACGTTGAACATAAAACGGGATTATGCTAATTGTAAGTTGTAAAGTTGTTTCTCGGTGAATACATTTATCCAAGTCGCAGAGAGATGCGAGAGATTTATTTCTATAGAAAAGAAAGAATCTAGGATTGTAATAATTTTATATAAAAATTAAAGGTAAAACTTTTGATACAGTGTAATTACTATTTATTTCCAAATTTAATTTAGATGTGATTATATCTTCCTTCTCTAAAATTAAATATTCTTTTTGATAAGATTACACTGGTCAACAAAAAAAATAATTTTAACTTTTTCCTCTTATAATTTTGCAGTTTTGGACTTATTTAAGTGCTGATTTCGAGTACGACAGTAGTGTTTTTTAACAGCTCTTGTTTTTTAATATTTTGAGACTACCCCCTTTAGACATCACGTGCAGTTTTTTTGAGTTTTACTCGACTCAAAATTATTATTTTTTTAACTTTATTTGTGGCAAATACATCTTTCAAAAATCGATCAATAATCGATATAATTGTAATATCTTATAAATAAAAAAAGTAGAGCTGATACAACTAAACTAGTATTTTTTTCGTAATCAGTGCCTTAGATACCTGTAATATAACCTGTAATATATGTTAAATGTCAGGAAAAAATTTGAGTGTTGACCAGTGTTATTAAAGATATAAGGAACAAATAAAATAATATTACATTGTATCTTCAAAGTTGCTCTTCAAGTTCTCACGTATAATAGTGAAACTTTGAATTTTACCGGTTCATTATTCCGTTCCTATTCCAATTCACGACTAAAACGTGCAAAGATGCGTGTTATCGTCCGCGGGGAGGTAAAGGAACGAAGGATTGAACCCGAGAGAAAGAAAGAGAGAGAGAATCTATGATGATGCGCGGTGTAGGCTCGTCTCGTAAAGGTGTCCTCGATGGTGCGATGAGAGTGCGCAGAATCCGGGGTAACGATTGCAGGCAGGAGAGCACCGGAGGCGGCCATAGCACGCAGGCAGGTAAGGCGAGGTAAGGCTCCCGATTTGGGTCACCGCGACCTCGTCCCAAAGGCCGGACTTGCTAGAGGTTACGACCTGCTTAAAGAGAGCCGGATCGATTCGACCGACCTCGTCGTCATCGCTTCCATCTCGCGATTCCGGATCGAAATGTCATTTGTCCGCAGCATCAGCTGGATGAGAGATACGTGTCTGTTTGCTGTGGGTATAAATATATATATATATATATATATATATATATATATATATTCTCTCTCTCTCAGAGATCGCGTGCCTTCTTATCTAAATGAATTTTTCATTTGATATCGCGTGCTCGAGCAAACAAAACCTGAAATCGGACGGTCGCACTATTAGCTTATTGAGAGAATTTTGCCTTATTTTTTTATTTATGTTGACACTGACGTATGATTTTTACATTACATTCTCATGATGATACGGTTGCAAGTGCCAAGTATCCATTTTTGCACATCACGTTCACGTCTGATATTACTACACCATCATCTGCATGATGAGAAGACTGAAGCAATTCTTTCGCAAGATTTGCAAAATCGAGAGAGAATGAAGAGGTGGCTTCTAAATTTGCAAACGTGAGCAAATTTAATATCGATATTTTCTCAATCTTTTCTGGATGATTTAAGGATATAAATCATCTTTATACAATAGTGACACAACGAAGGATATAAACGCATAAAAGAGCTTATTAGAAAAGACTTGCAAAGTTTGCGATTGCGAAAGTTACAGATCGAGCTTATGCAAGGATCTGATGCGGGAATTTCCACAAATCCTCAAAGTGTCCAACAAAAGCCCTACGTCCTCCGCTTCCCCTCTTTTATTCACTCTTTCTTTTCCTTGCGTGCAAAAAAAAGAAACGTGATGAACGATGCTGCGGGAAGAGGAGACGGAAAATGGAGGGAAAATTAATTCGAGATTTTCTAAGGCCGCGGGAGGCTCGTACCAAGATTGAGAACGTACGCTTAGCTAATCCCGCGGTCGCGAAGAACTTCCTGATCCCGTTTTCCTCGCGGATCAACGGATTCCCCCGAGCGCGCGATCCGTCGAAGTCTCCTCGTCGAGGTCTCCGCAATCTGGCTTCCTATTCCTACGGCCGGGATCGATTCCGCTTTTCGCCCGCAAACGCGAGATCCCGCGAATCTTGAAACGAGATACGTTTTGTGCGAAAAAAAATTATATACGCACTCTCAATTTTATATTATATATTATATTTTATATTTTATATTTTATATTATATGGAAGAATTTTTCAAAAAATTATTTATATCGAAGAGAGCTTTTATTAATAATATTAATTTTAAATTATAAATTAATATTAAAAATATTTAATAATAATAATAATAAATGTTTAATAATAAATTTAATTAATATTAAAAATATGAAAAATATTCAAAGAGAAGTTATTTTTATATCATATAACTATCACTTTCTAAATTATTTCTGCAAAGAAAGAAGTATATGTAACAAAAAAATGTCTTAATAGTTAAAAAAACGAAGCATTCTTTTGATACAAAAATTGCAATAATTAACTCAGTCGAGTTCCTCATCCGATTATCACATGCCGAACAAAAGATCGGAACTAATCATAATCGTTATATTCATCGCGAACAAAACGTTTCCCACGTAATTAGCACTTTCTCAATAATTCTTAACGCGCATTTAAATGTGTTTGATGATGTACAAGCGTTATATCCGCACGTCAAGCTATAGGTATAACGTTAATTGTCTGAATAAGAAAACAAAAGCCCATTATTCGTTTCATCAAGTAAGAAAGCATACGCGGTTATATCATCCTAGTGAGTAAAGCACATTTTACAAAACATTACAAATATCGTGCAACGTTTCATTTTCATCCACATTAATTTTTACAGAATATTTGCTTGCACGTTAACAATTTGACATTTTATAGAAATTATTTCTAGAAAAATACAAACGCGTGCATGCAAACGTTTTGAACCATTTTTCACCAGCTAATTTTTCATACGTCGCTTTATTGAACAGTAAAATATACAACGTAAACATACGTCAAGAAATTTAAAATTTAAAATCGAATAAAATTTAATTTTGCAATTAATTTTAAGCTCTGACAGGGGATAGAAGGATATATAAATACGTCGATTAAAGTGTCTTGTAAAATTGTTAATGGAAAATGTTGATGGAAAATAGATGGAATTTACATCGACAACGTTTCGTCCTAATATCGATATGTAACGAGAATGTTAATGGCAAATTAAAACAAATTCATTGGCAGCATAATTACAAAATAATCTTTCCTACGTCCAATCATAATCGAGTAATAAAGTACAAACGTTCGCGGGGCTATCACCGATATCGTAGGATTAACCGATGTCTGAATAACCAGATTTATGAATTAATATCGCGCATACGGACGGATATAATAGAACGAATACGACGGATAACAGTGTAATTAACTATCGGCGTTAGAATCGCCCTCTGACCGGCTTTTCTGCGGCGTAATTGCGAGCTGCGACCGGGGAATGCGGCCAATAAAATTAACATTATCCAGGTCGTATCTGCGTTTATGCGTGTCGAAATGATTCGATCTAGGCTTTTGCGCAATCGCTATACGTCTATGGCGCATCGCGAGATATCCAATTTCCAATTGCATTCTAATTGCAAACTTCACCGTATTACAAAATTATAATGCAATGTTATGTGATGCGTATCAAGTATGTCTCGAAATGGGAATGATGGAGTCGCGAGCGAAAATTACTCCTACACAGAAAAAAATAAGTGTCAAAACTTATATAGTTAAACTTAACGCGTTTCGCTATCCTCATATACTTAAACTATACTTATGTACTTAAACTAACATTGTTTCGTATATACGCAACAATTTATAATCTTCTTAGAAGGATTTAATAATTTTAAATTTCAACAATATTATAATCTTATTTTAATATTGTAATTGTCACCTCAAGAATATATAATTATTTAATTCTACTTTAAGAAAATTATAATCTTTGATTTAAAAATGTTATTTTCTATCTAACATTGTTTCTTTTCCATTCAAGAAAATTAAAACTTAAATCACAAGAATATATTTTTCTCGATTGAATTATATAAAATGGTTTCATTCAAGTAAGCAATTATTCAAGCAATTATATTTTTCTTTAATTAACGCAATATAATCTCATTTCAAGATTTCCATGTTAAAAATAAATATATTTTCAAAACAAGAATGTCCTTTTTTTCTGCGTAGGCGACGCAGAAATCGCTACTGTAATCCCTCTAAAAATTTGCGTCGGCGTTATTTCGCTCTTTCTCGACGCGAAATACTCTTCTCAAAATATAACGCTCTTTCAAACGTCCATTTTTAATTGTAATCGACGTCGCTGCGCATCGGTGTTAAAGAGCTCTGAAAGTTTGATGAACAGATATTACGGGCCATGCTCTTTCATGACACATTTAACGCTAAATATAGCCTGATTCTCTTTTCATGCTGACATCGATCGCGCTCTTCGTGTGCGAATAAAAATTTTAGAATTTGCATTAAAAGTTTTATAAGATTATAACTGCAAATAGTGGATATGTATGAATGCTTGCTTCATCAATGATATATTACTTTCAACATAAATCTGAAATATTCGCACTTCGAAACGAGACATCAAGCAATGGTTTCATTGAGAAAAATCACAGGGTCATGCAAATAAAACGTTCTTAAAAATCTAGAATTATATTAATCTTAATATGTGGATCTTTCAACTGAAGATATACAAGGGGAGCAAAGTTGTGTCGAATCGATTGTACACATGTGTTTTTTATACATCTTCGTCTTTTCTAATTCACCGTGAATCACGCGATGGGGTTACACACGTGAGGGGAAGAAGCAAGAGCGATCTATCGATTCGAGAGCGTTGTAGGCTCTCTTGACCCGAGACGAAGCGCGTTTTCACCGTGGTTAATGAAGTATCGCGTTAAACGGGAAACTCGATACACACCGTGTACAATCGCAGTGCAAGTTGTCTGAAATACGAGAAGTTTCTCGACAAGGGAGCCTACCGGAATCTCGCCAAATTTTCGCCATAAGCGAGACAAAAAATATATTAATTTCTTTCGTATGTATGTAATTAGCACACACATGTGCAAGAAAAATGAAATTATCATATGATATTTAATAATTCAAAAGGATATAACGTTTAGTAATTATGCAAAATAAATGTTTTAATTCTATGTGAATGCATGCGAGGCTGCCAAGCGCAATATGTTAATTATTTTCATATGTAATTATTAGATACTAATTGCATAAATATGCGTGGAAGTAATTGAAAGTAATTAAAATTGACTCCGATATATTTTACATACATACAATATCATACCGCGCGTGTAAAGAATATATTATATACTGGCTGTTTCTTAATAAGTGCGAAAAATTTTAGGAGATGATTCTTTTCAGATGGGTTTTTCATATAAACATTAAAAAGTTCTAATAAAAAATTGAATAGGGATTGCTAATTACAATACGAGAGGCTGAAAAAAATATTCATAATTAACCTTTTTACTAGTAGAAAATATCCACCTAATTTCATTTCTTTAACTTGTTCCAAAATTGAGAAAAAAAGTAAAAACTTAATTTTCACCCCTATTTTTGGAGGAGTGTAACTCCAGGGAGGAATGTAGGAGTATATGTTTATATGAAAAACCCTCCTTAATTTTCGACAAAAAATCAACTTCTAAAACTTTTTCGCTTATTAAGAAACATCCTGCATAAATGTAACCTTTTCATTGTATTATTTATCGCGCTATTAATCGAAGGGCAATTAATGTGTACACGAATATTATATCAGAAGTGAAAGTATTTCAAGAACGCCTAATAGATCGTAGCGCGAATTAATAATTAACTTTTACGGCATTCACGGTCGCGACGTGAAGCACGCGAATCACGTCGACGAGACACCGCCGGACACACACGTGTCAGACACACGCGGACGGTTGAGTTTTACCCCTGACACGGGCTGACGGGGTCG